ACAGCGAATGCTACTAGACAGAATCAATGGACTTCAGCTACAGCTGAATGAGGTAAAAATAGCATCTGTGTAGTCTCATTGAAAAGCCATAATCATCCCCAGACTTCACAAGACCAGGTTCTGCATAAACCTCAGAAAAGGGTGTCTTTGCCTAGAGATGTGCACTGCAAATTGTCAGCATTTTCACTTGTAAAAGAAGCAAAAATGTATTGGCAGGTTGTTACTTTTAGTAAATTGGGTGTTCTGTTAGAGGGTCCTCTGCTTTGATAACCATCTGTAAACTGAATGACTTTAATTAAAGGAAAAAAAATACAGCTCTGGACTTTGTTCGTCAAGCAAGATCAGAGTAACAAATGCATCCCTTTCCGGAGGAGGAGAATGCTTCATGCAAAGGACTGTCACTCTGGTGTTTTCAAGGATTTTTCAATACTCTTTGTACTTACTCAGCTTACTGGGTGTGTCTACATGTGTTTTTATGTGCACCTAAACATAATGCACACTAGCTTAATGTGCATTAAGGTGATTTAGGCGTGCGTCTACATGTGCACGTGCTAAGGTGCATTAACACGGGTGTGCAGACTGACTTGGGACTAAAGTTAGTCCCAAGTTGGTGGACATGTACTGCGTTAATGCGTGTTAGCGTGTCTATGTGTTCGCCAATGCGACTTAGCTATTCACGCAAAAATTTCATACCTGCTTTATGCAGGTATCAAATTTAGGCTCGAATAGCCTAAAATTGCCATTTTAAGGCACATTAAGGGTGTACATGTGGAGATGCGTGCCCTTAAGGTGCCTTAAATTGGGCTAATGCACATTAAATGTGCACATGTAGACACACCCAATGTGTCATTTATCAAGATGATAATGTAGATTCTTAGAACCATAGAAAATGAGGGTGGGAAGGGACCTCAGGAAGTCCCATCTACTCCTACCCCCTGCTCCAAGCAGGACCAGCCCCAGCTACATCATCCCAGCAAAGGCTTTGTCTAGCCTGGTCTTAAACACCTCCAAGGATGGAGACTCCACCACCTCTCTGGGTAACCTGTTCCAGTGCTTCACCATCCTCCTCGTGAGAGAGGTTTTTTCTAATATCCAACCTCAGCTTCCCTTGCTGCAGCCTGAGACCAATGTGTGACACCAACGATTGGTTCCTGCTTTTTGTTGCTTCCCAGTGGTTTGTTTGTGTTCTCGCACTGGCTCAGCTCTTTGGGGCTGAGGTTAAGCCTAGGAGTGATACATCTTGCATAGCAGGCGTTCCTACTGCTCAAAACCAATCTGACTAATGGCATTTTATGGTAGCTGTTAACACTTCCCAGTCAAAGCTCTCTAGACTCTGTCGTGGTTACTGTTATAGCTTTAGGAACAAATTCTAACCTCATGCATAGCTATGGGTAGGGTTGTTTTATATTAATGGTATCTTGTATTTTTATATGTGACTGTTGCTTGCTAATAACATTGATTGATTGGTTCTGGGGTATTTCTAGGAAGGTGGATGATAGAAGGGACAAATTGGTAGGGGGTTTAATTCTGAACTGGAAGGTGGTAATCACATTGTCACCTGCTTGCAAACCACTTGCAGACTTATAATTGAAACGTGTTTGAACTTACAATTGAAACATGGTCTCTTGTCTGCCTTACAGGAGCAAATGGTTGCTGATGATCTTGAAAATGAGGTAAGCGAATGTCACTCCCTGTCCTTGGTGATACTAAATATTGTAGGTTTAAGAAAAATACTAGTTTCCTTTCATTCACTGTTTTAATCGTTCAGACAACAATTAAAAATCCTTGTTAAATCCTTGATGCTGCATATTTCCTGTGTAATAGTGGACAAATTGCATAGCCGCATTTGGCCTATTCCCCAGGGCATGGTTACTTAAAGCAGGGGTGGTCAAGCTGTAGCATGGGTGCCACAAGTGCCATAGGCAGCCTCTGCATGTGTTATGCAGCAGATTGAGGAGGGGACAGGTAGTGCAGTGGCAGATGGGGTAGGGATCAGAAAGCAGAGCAGATGAGATGGGGAGCACAGGGCAGGGAGCAGAAAGCAGAAGAGCAGCTCGGGTAAGGGAAAGGGATCAGTTTGGGACTTGGGGAGGTGTGGAGGGCTAATTTATGGCATGCCTGCCAAAAAGGTTGTTCCCCACTGCTTTAAAGCACACCAAATCATTGCTGAACAAGAATACCTTAGTAAACAGCATCTAGACCAGTGGTTCCCAACCTTTTTTTATACTGCGGACCGGCAAAGTCACTCAAAGAATTTTGGTGGACCGGGTAAATGAGATGGTTTCTATACATATTGAAATTTAACTTTTACGTGGCGGCAGGGAGGGGTTGTGAGGAGCAGATTGGGTTGGGGCACTGCAGCCACGGGCCCCGGGCAGGTCTGGGGCTGCCCAGCAAGAAGGGGCTCCTGCCTTCCCTAGGAGCAAGCAGCAGAGCCACCTCCTCACCCTCTGCCCCGGGCATTTCCCCGCCCGCATCCCCCTGCTCCCAGCCGCAGGCGAGACTGGGGGGTCCTGTCCAGCTCAGCGTGGACCCTGCTACCTGCTGCGCAGGCAGCACCTTGCTAGGCATGGCCATGGTGGCGGGAGCAGGATGGGGCGCATGGAGCCAGCTACCTCCCTTCCGGGGCTGCCCCACCGCCCAGCTTGAACCCTGCACATGACTGCCAGTGGCAGAAACAGCTCCCCCGGGCTTACAGATGGGGGTCCAAGTTGGGGCAGGCAGGCGGGAGCCTGCAGCCCAGGGCGGGCAGAGAGCTCAACAGCCACAACCTGGTAGCCAGTCCTTCGGGCCGTGGTCCGGTGGTTGGGGACCTCTGCTCTAGACAATGAGCAGTGACTTTCAGGAAATCAGAGTTGTAATGCGTGTTGTTACTATCAGTGTTTTTTGTTTTTTTGTTCTGCCATGTCCATCTCCACGTGCTTCATAAATGTACAGATGTTAGTATGGTAGTGAAGCATATGGAATTGGGAAGTGAGGGGTTTTCATCGTTAACCCTGGTGGACGTTTCTCCAGAATTTTCATTTTGGGTTTTTAAAACATGTTTTGAATACTTGTGGGCTGAGCTAGTGCCGAGTAACTGATCTTAAACCTGGAATTTTGTTTGCAGAAAGATGAGCTGAGGAGACTTCTGACAGCCAAGGAAAACCAGCAGGAGGAGAGCCTAAGAACTATTGAAACTCTGAAATCTAAGCTTAAGTACTATGAGGTATGTGAATTGAATTACAGGAAATGACATCTATTAGTAAATGTTGAAGCAATTGTAGTCAAACTCATAAATGTCTCGTCCCAGAAGTCATTACACGCTGCTTAAAATGGATCTGGAAATGAGTATCAACATTTCATCGTCTAGAGACAAGTAGAATGAAATGAATATTTATCTTACTTTGACCTAAATTACAGCAATCTTTTTTTCCCCGTTGTTTCAGGGTGACTACATGGGGTCTGGAAGCAATTTTGGCAACAGTGAGTATATTTTAGTTTCAGAACTGGCCTTGTGGATCGCGCTCTCTCAGAAAATCCAAGTGAAACTGTTGCTTTTTATTTCTGTTTACTTTCTTTTTTTCTTCCAGTCTTGTAGTCTTAGCTGTAGCTGCATTTAGCCAGTGGGTCATGCTGCTTTACTTGCAGGTTTAGGCTTTATATGGATCATGTACCTGTCTTGGATGGATATACAAAATTACCATATTTACTTGAATTCAAGACAAGGTTATTTTTCCACATTCAGCATGGGGGGGACCTCTCTTGGATTCAAGGGTGGGGAAGCGGCTGTTGTGGTTACAGCTCTAGCCCTGTCTCAGGGTCAGAGTCAGAGCCATAGCTACTCCCAGCCCCACCACCACATGCTTCCTTGCTGCTGCTTTCCCCATTGCTACAATGGGAAGGGATGGATTTCAAGAAAGCCCTCCAATAATTAGATTCTAGGCATGGTAAATTATAACATATTTATAAGTTTTCTGTATATGGTATCTAATTATTGGGGGTCATTTTGAATTCATAGTCGCCTTAGATTCCAGTAAATATGGTAATAAGATGGAGGGATAGGATGGGGGGTGGGAAACGCATGCCCATGCATATGCCTACACACAAGTAGAGATGGTCTCATGTAGCAGTTGTTCTCCGAAAGGAAATGGCAGCTATATTCTGAATAGAGAGAGGGATTTTTTTAGTAGCTTGCATGATGGCATTAGTAAGACCACACAACTCATTGGCCACGTTCAAGAAATGCTCATTCAGATGAATGGGGGCAGAGAAGGGCTGCTAGGATGATCAGGGGACCCCATCATGCCGGAGGAGAAAAGACGTGGCTGCTTTAGCTGAGGCTGCTAGGATGATCAGGGGACCCCATCATGCTGGAAGAGAAAAGACGTGGCTGCTTTAGCTGAACCAAAACAAGGCTGAGAGAGGATAGGTATCAGTCAGGTAAACACCAGTAGGGAGAAATCCATTTAAGTTAAATGGAACATGAATAAATGGGTGTAAACTGGTCATGGGTGTAGAACTGTAGGGAAGTAGGGCTGGAAGGGACCTCGCAAGGTCACCTCGTCCACCCCCTTGCTCACACGGGTTCAGTTATCATTGTGATTTCTTAGACTGGTTCAGTGAGCAGATTTTCTCTCGCCTCCGATCCACGTGGATTACCTTCTTTGCTGCAAGGGTTCATATCTTCCAATGGGTGTTGTGTTCAGAATAGTTCAACGGCTGTTTTGACGCTGAACACTTGCGTGCGTCAATCTAATCCCTGATGCAACTCCATTAACAGGCTAGAATTCTACCCCAGGGTGAAGTTCAGCTTTCTTACTCCTATTTGGCTATTTTTAAGTTAATAAAGTACCTTTTTTTTTTCTTCTCCCTCCCTGCCTCCTTTTTGGTGAACTAGGGAAGGAAGATATGCTGCATAAACAGGGTCAAGTATTTGCTGCAGAATCACAGGTAACGTTTGCTTTTTGAGACCCTATTAACACATTTAGTCGGCTAATATTTGTGACACATCTGCAGATTCCTAGGTGCACGAGCAGTGCTAGAAGCAGGCACAGTTGTAATACAGAACTGTGGATACAGGAGTGAGCTACGAGACTCCAACTTCTCTGCATTAATTTTATGACTGCTGATGCCCTCTAGAGTAACTGTGCTGGCATAGCTCGTTAAGCCTTGGCTCCTACTGTTTTAAGAGCAGTGTTTGTTTTTTTCCCCAGCTTTATACCAGGATAGGAGGCAGTTCCATCCCACTGAAGTACAACCAGTTGCCTTTTTTTTTTCCTAAAGCTGGTTTGTTAAATTGAGCCGAAGTGGAAGTTAATTTATTGTAAATTAAATTCCAGGGAAAACTAGTTCTTCTGGGGTTCATTCTTCATCCTTTGGCAATCCCTCGCAGTTGAGGATGATTGTCTTCCGTGATTGTCTCATCTGTGTGTCAGATGGTCCACAGGTGGCAGATGGTGGGATGACCTTCAGGGAAGGTTAGCTGTGAAACCAGTGGGGGTAACTCTGCCGAATAACCAGTTGCAGAGCAAGCAGCGACAGCACCACCGGGATGTGGTGAGGACCACAGATGGCAATGGTTTCCCTCCTGAAAAGCCACATATATCCTTTGATGGTGCTGTGGCATGGCAAATACAGGTTGCCACTATCATAAGCCTGCCCAGCTCCCAGCCATGGATCTACAAGTCCTCAACCGTGGAGCACGTGGAAGAAGATGTTAGAATCTCAATGGTTGCGCGGGCAGACGAAGGATACAACAGAACCAGATCCCCAGTTGTCTTTGTCTCCTTGCTAGTGGGTCAGGGTCCCGTTTTGTCAAGAGCCGTGTGGAAGCTGATGTGCAGCAGCTGCTGGGGTTCATACTGGCTGATAGCAACATCCGATGGGGCGTCTTCTCTGGTCCTTCAAAGAAGCGTGATCAGCCCTGAGATGACATGTGCAAGAACATTTCCCATATACTTGAAATATGCCCTTTTTATATTTTCAGAGCATAGTTTGGAGTGGTGGCTCCAAGGAGACCTGCATTGCTGGATAAATGCATGCTTCATTTCTACTTAGTAATTTTTCAGCCCAACAGATTAATTTAGGGAACGATCATAATTCCATTTTTAAATAGACAATTAGCATTGGCTCTGCTGAAGGCCAAAGTAGTGCTCAGGGGACTGGAATAGATAGACCATGGCTTGTCCTGTAATATGACTGCTGTTGATATTGTTAGACTCACTTCAGCATTGTAGCAAAGCTGAATGGCCCCAGCCAGCAGCGTCCCATCACAAGCTGGGCAGGGATGATAAATTGCTGCCTCTGTACCAAGTAAAGTCACCTGTAAGCAAAGTGTGCTAGGCTGATAGGAGCTAAATGTTTCTATTCAGTGCCTTCTGTTTGGCCTGGCTGACAGTGGTGTGTAGGTGTTCTCATTCCCATAATTGCCATCACAGTTTGCACTGAATTGGGACCTTTTTCAGCCTCCTCAGAGGGTTGGACACGCTGGGGGCAGAAACAGAGGTACCTTTTTTTTTTCTTCCAAGGAGTCCCTTGACTGGACAATGGAAGGAAACATGACAGTTTTTTGCTCCTAGTTACTAAGCTTTCCAAGTACAAAATGCAGTTACTTATTTGTCCTATTCCGAGGCGATTGTTCTTATGCCTTTCATAAGTGCTGGTGTGCATTTAAAAATTTACTAATAAGCAGTTAGAAAATAATAGCTTGCTTTAGGAACTGAACCACTAATTGTCATCAGCTAAAGCAAAAAAGTGTGCATATGCTGGAGCTATGCTTAGCAAATCTTATTGGGGTGAGGGGAAGATGTATTTTTGGTTCCTGGTTTAAATTATCTGCATTAGTGGGTTTCCCCGCCCTGCTTATAATATAAATTGCTTTTGTAAAAGTGGGGCTCACGAGGGTGAAGATGTTGGGTTTTGGAGTGCTGTATGGACAATTAGAGGGAACAGTGTGATTTTTTTTTTTTTTTTTTTTTTTTTAAATGAGCAAAGCAGTTTAAGCATATGTCTCTTTCTGTGCCAATTAATTTGCAGACGAGGTCTATGCTGAGGCCACTGGAGCTTTCTCCCCCCAACCAATCCTTCACATCTGAGAACGAAATTCTAAGGCGAGAGCTCGACAACTTGAGAGCTGCCTATGGTGCCGCAAAAGAAGAAACGAGCAGACTTCAGCGAGAGCTGTCTCATAAGGCAGCTGAATGCAAAGCTTTGGCACTGGAATATGAGAGAACCAAAGTGGAATCGGATGGGCAGATAAAGCAGTTGGAGGATGCTCTGAAAGACGTGCAGAAGCGAATGTTCGACTCGGAAGGCAAAGTCAAGCAAATGCAAACCCACTTCCTTGTGCTGAAGGATCACTTGACTAACGAAGCCGCTACAGGGAACAGTAAGCTAGTAGAAGAGCTGAAGGATCAGGTGAAAGACATGAAAGCAAAATATGAAGGAGCCTCCGCAGAAGTAGGCAAGCTAAGGAACCAGATCAAGCAGAACGAGCTGCTGGTTGCAGAGTTCAGGCGAGATGAAGGGAGGCTGGTGGAGGAAAACAAGAGGTTGCAGAAGGAGCTTGGTAAGTTTGAGATGGAGCGAGAGAAGAGAGCCAGGAACGTCCTGGAGGCCGAAGGGCAGCTCAAAGACATGGCTGCGAAGCTAGCCCTCTCCGTGCCTGCTGAGAAGTTCGAGGCGATGAAGAGTTCGTTATCAAACGAAGTGAACGAGAAGGTGAAGAAGTTGGCAGAGATGGAAGGAGAGAATGGAAAGCTGCAGGCAGAGTTTTGGCTTTTAAAAAGAGACCTTGAGAGTCAGAAAGTGAAATTGGTTCAGCATGTGAAGCCGGAGGAACACGAACAAATGAGGCGCAGACTTGAGCAAAAAAATGAGGAACTTGGGAAGACCGTTTCCGAAGCGATGTCAAAGAACCAGTCTCTGCAGAAGGAAATGGAGAGGGTTCATGTGGACAACAAGCTGCTGAAGCAGCAACTACAAGCACTAAAAACAGAGATTAAAAGCCAATACGTGCCATTAAAACTGATGGAAGAGGTGAAGAGAGCCAACGAAGTGACCGTGGGTGATCTGACCAAGAAACTTTCTGAAGTCACGCAAAAGTACAGCGAGAACAAAGCAGAAGCAGAGAAGTTGCTGGCAGAAAAGACCAGCTTAAGTCAGAACGTAAGTCACTTCCAGGCTGTGTACCTGTCCCCAGAACAACACGAGAAAGAAACAGCAGCCTTGAAATCCAGCCTGGCTGAAGTGAAGAGGCAGCTTGCCGAGGCTGTTCACAAATGTGACAGCGAGCGAGCAAAAGCGTGCAAGCTGGCATCGGAAAATACCGCTCTGAAAGATGCCATGAGGGATCAGTACGTACCAGTCGCAACACATGAAGAGATTAAAACAATCCTGAACAGCACGTTGGAAAAGACGAACAAGGACCTGTCAGATCTCAAGGGAAAAACCGAAGAGATAAAGCAAGAATTCGTGAGAGTCAATGAAGAGAATGGAACTTTGAGAAACAAGATGAAGCTCCTGCAAACCCAAATCCAGACAGAGTACATCAGTGGAAAAGATCACGAGTGTCAGGTGTCGGGCTTGAACAAAAGCCTGCTCAAGCTTCAGGAAAGCAACGCTGAGCTGATGGCTAAGTATAAGAGAGGCCAAGAGGAGATCTTACAGTTGCATGCAGAAATTGAAGCCCAGAAGAGAGAGCTCGACACAATCCAAGAATGCATCAAGTCCAAATATGCTCCGCTCTCCTATTTTGAGGAGAAAGAGCGAAACTTTGAAGCTGTGGTGAAAGAGCTAAAAGAGCAGTTGCTAGACCAGACGCAGAAGCGCCAAGAACGTGAGGAGGAGACCCAGAGGTGTAAAGAGGAGAATGAAAAGCTAAGGAGTAGGTTTTTGTCCATACAAAATGACCTGCAACAGAACTATGTTCTGGCTGAGAAATCCCATGAAATGGAAAAAATGTTCACCGCTAAAATGGAAGAGCTGAGCAAGCAGCTGAGAGACTTGCTGCAAAAATACACCGATGTAAAGCAGGAGAAGGACAAGCTGCAAGAGGAGAGCCTGAAGCAGATCTCGGAAGCCCGTGCCATGCAAAGTCGTCTACAGGGCCAGTATGTTCCAGTGAAGGAGTTTGAAGGCTTGAAGGAGAGTCTGGGCCGCGCAGTTGAGGATCTGAAAGAAGACCTCGGTAGAAAGAAGGCAAGTTATGACAGAGAGGTGCAAAAAGTAGCCGAACTGCAGCAGGAGTTAGCAGATCTAAAGAATTCCTCGATACCTTTGGCAGACCACGTGCAGGTGAAGGAAGCGTTGGAGCGAGAAATCTTAGCAATCAAAATGACTTTGAAAGAAAAGGAGGGGGAGAACCAAGGAAAAAGCGAGGAACTCTTGAAACTCCGGTTGGAGATCCAGAGTGCTAAGCAAGCCTTAACGGACCTGGAGAGCAAAGAAGTAGTTGATATGTCGGAGTATAAATCCATGAGAAGTGCTCTAGAGACCCAGATTGCCAACGTGACTGAGAACTTGGCCAGCCTGACTAAGAAATATGAGGAAGCATGCGAAGAAGCCTTGCAAGCCAAGAAGAGTGAGCTGTCTTTGAAAGATGAAAAAGAATTGCTTCAATCCCGGAGTTCCAGCATAGAGCAAGAAATCAAAGACCAGAAAGAGAGATGCGATAAGTCTTTGACGACCATTATTGACTTGCAGAAGAGAATACAGGAGTCTTCAAAGCAAGTGGAAGCAAAGGATAACAAGGTAGGCAGGAGGGGTGAAGTACTGGATGGAAATCTGACGGGCTTTGTCTAGAGCATGCAGGCCAGATGTTCAAATGCAGCTACCCAAGTACCAAAACGCATGCTTTGGGCATCTACATTTGGACCATATTTGCAAAGCTGGGGACTTTGGACTGGGTATTTCATAGGATCGTAGAAAATTAGTGTGGGAAGGGAGCTCAGGAGGTCACATCTAGTGCAACCCCCTGCTCCAAGCAGGACCAGACTCAACTACATCATCCAGCCAAGGCTTTGTCCAGCTGCGTCTTAACCACCTCCAAGGATGGAGACTGCACCACCTGTCTGCATAACCCGTTCCAGTGCTTCACCACCCTGCTAGTGAGAGTTTTTCCTAATATCCAACCTCAACCTCCCTTGCTGCAGCTTGAGCCCATTGCTCCTTGTCCTGTCACCTGCCCCCACTGAGACCAGCCCAGCTCCATCCTCTTTGCAGCCCCCCTGCAGGGAGGTGAAGGCTGCTATTCAATCCCCCCTGGGTGCATCCAGATGAACACAGACATATAGTTTCCCAGGGATAAGTATCAGCGGCACACCTTGTCCCGCTCCTGCTTGTCCCTGAGGAACACCCATGCCACACATGCTCTGGTGCACAGCAGGTTACCCTGGCTGGGGTAGGGGAGGCTGGGACCAGCAACTGTGCTTACCTGAGGTCCTGGGAGGCCTCCTGGGGTTGCAGCCATGCAGCCGGAGCATGGCTCCGACCAGCCAGGCGCCGGTTTTGGGTGGCACGCACTGCCGCCACGTGTGCCATCCTACTTTCTTTGGCATGTGTTTTTTTTTGACCCCGGGATCTCCTGGGGTCAACCCCTCCTGTGCTGCAAGGTAGTAGTGCGGGGAATGCCTGCATGTGCAGTGTGATGCCACAGATGGGTTTGTGGCACCACGTAGCGCACGTCCACGCTTGTCTAGACAGCCTCTCCTACTTCTCTTTTCTAGACTACGTAAGCCCAGTTTCCTCAGCCTCTCCTTATAAGTCATTTCGAGTCCTGTCTAATTTCTCAAACGCTTTAAAATTGTGCTTAACTTACAATGATTCGTAACAGAGACCTAGTCAACCACTTCCAAGTTTTCAGAGTCAGTTTGGTGCCATATTCACACTGGAGAAGCATCAGGTACCTTTCCCCAGCATTTCTTTAATCTGGTAAAATTGCACTTGTTTCATGACTTCTGGTTCCTTTTGGGCATGGCCTTGACATTCTGGCACTGCCGCCTGCCGGTCGCCAAAAGATACTGGCAGCTGATGTGCAATGTCTGACCCTCTTTAAAAAATGCGTTATAAAGTGGAAAGCTGTGTTAAAGATCAGGTTAGGATGGAAGAGCATGGTACTAACTTCACCTGCCAGTATCTTTCAGCATCAGTTCATGCTCTCCAGACAAATGGAGGTTGCATCTCTCACGGGTGCCTAGAGCTGCAGTTAAACGTGTACTCTGCGCTCTCCTCCCTGGAACATGGTTCGGTACATGCTTTAAGAGGCAAATTTCCCTACGGGTTGCCCCCTTATGAGCGCTCCTGCTCCTGCACCTGCCGTGGGACTTAGGGGCTGATGTCCCTTGGAAATCTGGGCCTGAGCAGCCCTAGGCTCTGAACTGCTGAAGTTTAACCTCTGTGGTTCAGATTTTAAGGTTTTCCCCATCTTGGGAAGCAGAGAGCAAAGCAACAGAAGCACGTGACTTGTATTCAAAGCATCTAGATTGCTTTCTCGTGGTAAACCTAGTATGGGTTGCCTTTAAAAGTCAAATGATACCTCCACCTGCTGGTGTTAGCCTTTTCGTGACCCTGAAAACTAATATTCGTGGCTTCTTTTCAAGATAACGGAGCTGCTAAATGATGTGGAGCGGCTGAAGCAGGCTCTGAACGGCCTGTCTCAGCTCACGTACACCAGCGGAGTTTCTTCAAAGAGGCAGAACCAGCAGGTTGAGATGCTCCAGCACCAAGTGAAAACCCTGCAGCAGCAGCTGGCTGTAAGTCACGTGAAACATAGCTCTGGAGTCCGCTAGCCAGGCGCGGCTTTGGTCGTACGCGGTGCAACGTGTGTGTGTGTGGTCGTGGGTATGGGCAAGAAGTTTTGGTTCTCCTGAGGCAGGGGGACTCGACCTCTGTCCTGAAATTTTGGCGGTACCAACTCTTGCTTCCCTGCAGCCGAATTTTGGGGCCCGTAGGGAGCTTCGTGGGTCGGATAGCATGCTACACAGGTGTGCCTCGCGGCCTGATCTGGGCACGCAGGAGCCGACTAGAGGTAGCACGGGCCCGATTCCTGCAGCTCGGGGCTAAGGAAGCAGGCTGTGAGCATGCACAGAGCTCTGGGACACGGTATGAGGCCGGATCCGGCCTGTGGAGCATCCCTGAGCCGCTCTGGCCCGTGTCAGTAAAAGGCTGACTGCCCCGTCCGAAGGAAAAGAACAGCATTGTTTGAACTCCGCTTTCTCTGTGAATGACTGTCTTGGAAGAGACCCCTTGCATTTGCTCCCTTGTCCCCATGTGGAATTTGCAGTGTCTTTCAGAGAGCGTGTCCAGGGGAAGCGGATGGGGAAAAATGATTAATCGAGGCAGAGACCCTTTGCTCTTACCACGTCCTCCCGTTAGTATCCTCCAAAAATAATGCCACCGCTGCAGTAATTCCTGACAAACAGTTGCCCACGGTGCTTTCTGAAACACCCAGAGGTAGTTCCTGCCCCAGGGATTTGCTGATCTAACGTCTCGCACCTGCAAATACTTTTGAGCGTGTTGCTTACCTCTGTGAAGAGTGGAACTGGAGTGGGGCTATTCATTGTAGCAAATGCCCAGGTGAACCTCTTTTTTTTTTTTTTTTTCCCCCCATGTCGGTCGTCCTGCTTGTTTTGTGGAACCGCTCGTGGGAAAAATCACTCTTGTCACCCGTGTGACTCGCCTGCATAAATCTGCACAGAACTGGGCCAGGTTCTCAGTGGCAGGATTGATGCTTACAGTGAGGAAATGAGCTTGGGGCTCCCACACAGAGCCAGCACCTGGACTCGATACTGAATCAGCACATCTTTTTCCGATTAGGCTCGGTTCCAGGCAAAACACTTTGTCAAGATGAAAGCAAAGGTGTAAGCCTCTGTCATTCCGTTAATGGCAGGGGGAGGGGAGCGCAGCCATTGGGAACACTAATCTTGAAATTTCAAATTAACCCACGGTGACGCCAGCAAAGCCAGGCCAGTTATGCGAAGAAGGGACGTTGGAAATGTGCGCGACTCATTTGTCTCTTCTGTTGCCCTCTCCGTCTTCTATCTACAGGATGCTAAAAGACAGCACCAAGAGGTGATTGCAGTTTATCGGACCCATCTTCTCAGTGCTGTGCAGGTGTGTGAGCTGGTCTGACACGTTTGAGTCCAGCCCTTTTCCCCACCCCTGCCCCCAAAGAATTCTCTATTTAAAAGCCTGTCTACACAATGATTAATGCCTCGCATTAGAGGCTTCAGTCCGCCATTTAAAAAATTACAGACAAGACAACACCCCCCCTTTTATCACCAAAAGGAAAGTGAGAAGCAAAACAGCAACGCAGCAGGTTTAAATTTAGTGTCGTCTTAATCTGCTTTTCACTTTTTGGAGGCAGCTTGATATAATATACAAGGGTGACCCAGTTTGAAATTGTTGTCTCCGATGATGATGGAAGTGTGTTAACATATGCCACGTCCCAAATATTTCTGGAAAGGAGTTAACTTGAAAACTTCCAACGTTCACTTTTCTTGAATGGGAAATGCGAGTTTGTGCAGAGAGAAGCATGCTTTCCCTGGGGGTACTCACTGAGCACACTAATAGGATTTGGCTAAGAAGGTTAATAAGGTGTGAAGTTTCAGACCCTCAAATATAAAATTATAGAATCGTAGAAAATTTGGCTTGGAAGGGACCGCAGGAGGTCACATCTAGTGCAACCCCCTGCTCCAAGCAGGACCAGCCCCAACTACATCATCCCAGCCAAGGCTTTATCTGCCTGGACCTTAAACACCTCCAAGGATGGAGACTCCACCACCTCTCTGGGGAGCCTGTTCCAGTGCTTTGCTATGCTCCTAATGAGAGAGTTTTTCCTAATATCCAACCTCAACTTCCCTTGCTGCAGCTTGAGCCCATTGCTCCTTGTCCTGCCATCTGCCCCCACTGAGACCAGCCCCGCTCCATCCTCTTTGCAGCCCCCCTGCAGGGAGGTGAAGGCTGCTATTTAATCCCCTCAGTCTTCTCTTCTCCACACTCAATAAGCCCAGTTCCCTCGGCCTCTCCTTACCAGTCAGGTGCCCCAGTCCCCAGCCATTTTCACTGGACTCTCTCCAATGTGTCCACATCCTTTCTACACTGGGGGGCCCACAGCTGGACACAGGACTCCAGATGTGGCCTCCCCAGTGCTGAATAGAGGGGGAGAATCACTGCCCTCCATCTGCTGGCAGTGCTCCTACCGATGCAGCCCAGGATGCTGTCGGCCTTCTTGGCAACAAGGGCACACTGCTGGCCCATATTCAGCTTAAATCTATATGGGTCACTGTGACTGGGTCTGTCAAACTACGGGAAACCATTAGGATGTTTGGAGGGTGAATAGCAGCTCCTCTGAATAGGCACGGGGTTTCTAAATGGGAAGCTCACAACAGTGCTAGAGAGCTAGAAGCCAGTAGGTTGCATTTGGCAACTCCTCGTCCCATCGGCGGTGACTTACAACGCAAAGATCGCATATTCGGTTTGGGAGGGCAGGAGCCTTTTGTTGCCAGAGTCCTGAATGGTTTGTTTTTTTTGTGTCCACTCCAGGGTCACATGGATGAAGACGTCCAAGCCGCGTTGCTTCAGATCATCCGCATGAGACAGGGGCTTGTATGCTAGTGTGCTCAGTGCTGCGCCTCCGCAACGCCCAGCTGCTGCATCCAGGGAGAGCGCTGTGATTACAGGAGTGTTAACCTTCGTGAGCTTTATCTGATTGTGATGTTCTTAACTGTAAAAAAAAAAAAAAACAAAAACAAAACAAAAAAACAAAAAACAAACCCCCCCAAAAACAAAACAAAAAACCCCCCTAAGAAATATTTATTCCAAGTAGGAAGCAGATGTGAGGTGGCTGGAATCCATTTACTCCTTGTAAAATAGAACAATAGGATAAATGAAGTTCAAATCAGACGCTTCAGATACGTGGACTCTGAATGTATTTTACTATTGGTGTATGAGCTGGCAGTCAAAATGATGACATGGCAAGTAGTTTTTTTTTAATGTCGGATTGACCAGTCTAAAACCCGCATCCCAAAACTTCAGCTTGATCCTATTGTTAATTGACAAAGTGTGAATGAAGATCTAAGGCTAAACTGAAGTGACCTTGGCTGAAATACTGCGGCTATTTGTGTTTTTCTTCTTGTTAAAAAGTGTGTTTTCTTTTTCTTTTTTTGCCGGTCATATTAATTGACCAAGACTAGTTTCAATGCGGTGTGTCGACTACATAACAAGACTGATGGTGTCAAAGTCTACATGGTAACTTGGCTGGCCAAGTTGCATTTGCTATTTAAGTAATTTTTAAGACTTGGTGCCTTTTTGCTTTTTACTAGAGGTACAAAGACCAGGTTCTTTCCTATCAAACATTAACTTGTATGACTTTTTTTTTTACAAGAGCTATTTTTTCATTAATGCTTTATAACTCTGATTACTAGGCTAAGCAACAGCAGGACTGGAGTAGATCACAATGGTAGAACAGCGTTGCAACCTCAAATGCTGCAGTGAGATTTGTATGTTTTTATAATCATTTCATACTTCAGCATGCATAAGATGGTGGACGTAGACCAGGGGTGGGCAAAGCCTGGCCCGCAGGCCGGATTGGACCTGCAGCAGACTCCATTTCCCAGCATCCCCCTGCCTGCATTGCTGCAGCCAGTTTCCATGGAGACCCCAGCAGCAGTGATGCCGGGCTGGGGTTTCCATGGAGACCGGCTCCAGCGGCGCTGGCAGGGTGTGCAGCTGGGCAGGGAGCTGCTCCGGGGCCGGGGCTGGGATCTTGCAGCTCTGCCTCGGGTCTGGCCCATGCTGTCAGCACCGCAAGATCCCAGCCCCAGTGCGGCTCCCTGCCCAGTGCCAGCGCTGCTGGGAAACCGGCTGCAGCGACGCAGGCAGGGGCTGCTGGAAAAACGGAGTCTGCCGCGGACCCAGTCTGGCCCGCAGGCCAGATGTTGCTCACCCCTGACGTAGACTAACTCTGGATAAATTTGTCCATCCATACTTCAAGTGTCACATGGTCAGCCCTTTTCTAGCAAAGTTTTAAGACGTCTGTTTTTTATTAACCGTGTAAATTATGGACTGTAATCAATTCTTGATTATTTATGGGGAAGCTGCAAATAGTAACATTCATACCATAAGAAATCTAACTGGTTTGGGATTTACATGTTAAGCAAGGTGGGGCTTCATCTTTCAGTGCAATAATACCAAAGGATAAAGCATCTAAATGCAAGTTTAGCAAAAGAAACATCCAGCAGTTGGGAACGGTTTAAAGGAAAACGTCGGTGAAACGCACGGCTATTTACAAAGAAGGGTGTCATCGTTTTCCATGGCTTACCTGACCCTATACGTTTGACATATTGCATATGATGCTCTTCACTACATGAGTCGTCTCGTTAGCTTCAAATTATTCTGTCATTAGCATTTTAGCTTGTAACTCGCAAACAGGCACCTGGCATCCTGATGTAGAACAAGACAAAATTTGGCTTTTCTGGGGGAGGGGGTTGGGAAATAGGAAACTTGAGGTTGTAAAGTAAGCGTGTGTGTGTGCAGGAGATCTAACTGATGTAGAACAAGACACAATTTGTCTTTGTGGGGGGAAATAGGAAATCTGAGGTTGTAAAGCGTGTGTGTGTGCATGATCTGACTTCTGTTCACAAGGCAAGGTTAATTTTTGCAACTTTCAAGTTTTTCTATTTTCCAGCAGAGTCCTTTGTCCATGCTCTGCGTCTGGGTCTCTGGCTCTGGGGCCTGGCTTGTATCACTGAAATGAAAGCCTGGCAAAGGAGATAAAGAGGCATTGAGGTGCATTTGTAGAACAAGCTGCTTTGACAATCCATTTTTAAGGTTGAATAAGTACTTCGCTGTGGTGTGACATCTGATCCACGGCTGCTTTCCTTTAATTTCCAGGGGGAATCCCATAGGAAGCATCAATTCACCAAGTGTACTTTTAGTTCCTAGTTAAATTCTTTCCTAATCTCACTGCTTGAAGCTCTGTCTGGAGAGAAACTGATTGTTATACTAATGCTGGCATATTTTGCTATTGTATTTGTCCTTACAGGGGGGGCGGGGGATTTTTATGTATTTTTAAAAAATTTCTCCCATATTACATATCAATAAAGTGTTTTTGTCTCCTTGTAATGATGATGGTACCAATGGGAAAGAAGTGTATTACCTTGCCTGTTGGCAAGTTCGTCTGTGGGTAGCAGAGAGTATTAGCTTTCCTTTTTGGCTCTGTACAATAATTGCTATGCAATAGTCAAGACTTCTGCTTGGGAACAGCAACTTGGGGAGTTTTCAGGACTTGTGAAAAAGGCATAAGGCTACTAGTCCTGGATGAAGAAGTTTGCCCCTCTGAAATCCTATAGGCTGGCCCATCACTATCAATCTCTGAGCACTTCCAAACTGAGCGTTTAATTCAGTTTGTCTGTCAGTACAGTCAAAAAAAAGGAGAACGCATCAGCTGTGGAGGGGCAGGGGTCAACTTCACATCCAAATGTCTCTCTCGCCTCTCGGAGGGAACCAAGCATCCTTGGGATGTTCGCTCACAAGCACTGCCAACATTTACTGGAGTTGAACTGGTGACCCTGAAAGGGAAAGGCCGAATCTGTAGCTGCATCTGAGTTTCTCTAGCATAAATATGTCCGTGAAGCAGGGGAGCGCGGTAAGATTGGGAGAGGGATGGGAAGCATACATTGAGTCTTATGAAATCCTGCATTAAACAGTCCCTGGGATGACGACTCTTCCCTTGGGGACCTCATGGAAGTTAGTGTCTTGGAGCAAGAGTTTGCAACTGTCCTGCAAGCAGTTTGCTCGGTGTACCATAAGTATCGGCCCCCAGTAGTCAGTACCAGACCTTTGCAGGTGTTTTCCTTGATTGGCTTGCCAGGAAATTCTCAGTACATTTGAGCTACAAGCATCCTGTCTACTGGAGATTGCAACCGAAGCCCTTTGGAGCAGCCTTTGTATTCATTCGGCAAAATAACTCCTTTCTGCTGAATTTCCCTGGGAGGAACATTATCTTTTCTATCATCATCTTTTTTTTTTTAAAATAAGTGATTTTGTGACTCTTGCACTCAGTGGAAATTTGCTCGAGAGCAGCCTGCTCCTTCAACATGTTTCTTCTGTCCCACCTGTGAAGTGTGCACTAACGTGGGGGTCCGGCAGTGCCGGCAGCATCCGCTTGAACGCCGGTCACGCAGGAACGTCAAGACCCGTGTGCGAGGGGCTGTTGTAGAGCCTGACAACTTTAACCAGGTTCAAAAGAGGATTAGAGAGGGACCCATCGGTGGATACTGAACACAGCTGCTGCCTCCAGATGAGGACTTCCTACATCTGCAAATGCTGGAGGCGGAGAAGGAAGAGGGACAAGGGACAGGTCCTGCATAAATATTCTTCCCCGTGGCACTCATCCTGCCACGGTGAGCGATGGGACACGGGGCTGAGCCAGCAGGTGGCATCTCTTGCGTTCTGCGGGTGCCGTGCAGTAGGGCAGGATGGCACCGTGGGGACCGACTGTTCAGAGAAGCTTTTGTAGACAACAGGCAGGTTCATCAGAGCTTTTACCCAGAGAGGTGGTGCAGTCTCCATCCTTGGAGGTGTTTAAGACAAAGCCTTGGCTGGGATTCATAGATTCATAGATGCTAGGGTCGGAAGGGACCTCAATAGATCATCGAGTCCGACCCCCTGCATAGGCAGGAAGAGTGCTGGGTCTAGATGACCCCAGCTAGATGCCTATCCAACCTCCTCTTGAAGACCCCCAGGGTAGGGGAGAGCACCACCTCCCTTGGGAGCCCGTTCCAGACCCTGGCCACTTGAACTGTGAAGAAGTTCTTCCTAATGTCCAGTCTAAATCTGCTCTCTGCTAGCTTGTGACCGTTATTTCTTGTGACCCCCGGGGGCGCCTTGGTGAATAAATCCTCACCAATTCCCTTCTGTGCCCCGTGATGAACTTATAGGCAGCCACAAGGTCACCTCTCAACCTTCTCTTGCGGAGGCGGAAAAGGTCCAGTTTCTCTAGTCTCTCCTCGTAGGGCTTGGTCTGCAGGCCCTTAACCATACGAGTGGCCCTTCTCTGGACCCTCTCCAGGTTATCCGCATCCCTCTTGAAGTGCGGCGCCCAGAATTGCACGCAGTACTCCAACTGCGGTCTGACCAGCGCCCGATAGAGGGGAAGTATCACCTCCTTGGACCTATTGGTCATGCATCTGCTGATGCACGATAAAGTGCCATTGGCTTTTCTGATGGCTTCGTCACACTGCCGACTCATGTTCATCTTGGAGTCCACTAGGACTCCAAGGTCCCTTTCCACTTCCGTGCCACCCAGCAGGTCAGTCCCTAGGCTGTAGGTGTGCTGGACATTTTTCCTCCCTAGGTGCAGCACTTTGCATTTCTCCTTGTTGAACTGCATTCTGTTGTTTTCTGCCCACTTGTCCAACCTGTCCAGGTCTGCTTGCAGCTGTTCCCTGCCCTCCGGCATGTCCACATCTCCCCACAGCTTTGTGTCATCCGCAAACTTGGACAGAGTACACTTCACTCCCTCGTCCAAGTCGCTGATGAAGACATTGAAGAGTATCGGTCCCAGGACCGAGCCCTGCGGGACCCCACCGCCCACACCCTTCCAGGTCGAAGCCGACCCATCCACCACGAATGGATGATGATGTATTTGGGGCTGGTCCTGCTTGGAGCAGGGGGCTGGACTAGATGTGACCTGAGTCCCTTCCAACCTGAATTTTGTATGAGTCCATCAGATGCCTCTGAAGTTGACAGCTACTTACAGAAGCTCCTGCCTCTTGAACCAGTTGGTCTCTAAGGTGCTGCCCTGCCCTGCCTCCGTCTTGATGGCAGACTAATGCGGCTACCTGCTCTCCGTATCACGGGGTTAGCTATCGCCCATGCCCCTTACCCAGTGCATGAGACGCCCCTAGAGCAGGATGCAGGACACATCCCTCTCGTCACCAACGACAGCAACGATCCCTCCTGCTCAATGCCCTCGCCTCCGCTCCGTGCGCTCGGGCTCCTTGCTTTTCCCTTTCCCTTGAGCTCTTCCATCCCTGGCTGGAGGGGGCCGCTCCAGCCGCGTCTAGTCCGCAGGTGAGAGCACTCTCCTGAGCAGCGGCAGATGCGGGTTCGAATCCCCCCAGCTTGGGAGGCCCAGGTCTCCCATTCCCTGGGTGCAGGGTCTAGCCATAGTTTGCTGTGTGAAGAGAGCAGGATCAATGCCTCCCGTGGGCTCCTCTTTGGACTCAAGGGGCTGCCCTAAGGTATCACATAGGCGCTGAGGCCCGGGATTGGCGCTCAGTGCCCCGCAGGTGCCTAAATCCAAGAGACAGACCCTTCCCTTCAGCATTTCCTGTTGGCTTCTCCCTCCCCTTCCCAAGCTCCTGCTGTCTTCTGCATTTCCAAGTGCTTCTCTCTCCCCATCCTCTCATTCCTCCTAGCAGGGTAGCACGGTGCTGAGGCACAGGTGCTCTTCTGGAAACAGAAGCAAGGTCCTTAAAACGACTGAGATTTGAATGTAGCCCGGGGGAGGACATTTGAATGCAGTTGCAAGTGGGTGCTCTGGGTCATCTCGCATCGTTGCTACTGGGTTTTCCTGTTGGTGTCGGCATTGAACGGCTCTTCTGCAGGATGCTGCTTTGCAAGAAATCCAGCTTTTTTCAGGAGACTTGTATTCAAACATTGGATGTTATTTCAGTCATGTGGAAAACAGATCTCCAGGCACGAGCCTGTTCCAGCGGAGACTTCACCGGCCTGGTGTATCCGCTCCCGGGCTCGAGTGACTCGTGAAGGTGGCGATAAAATCTGGATTGCATCTATTTATCAACGGGGCTCTCGCCGCAGCGGTAATGCAAATGTTTAGCATAATCAAGCGTGTGGCATCACCTACATGGCAAAGGACGTTTTCATTATTTATGCCTCCGGGAACAAACAGCGATGATAAATGAAAGCAGAGCTGCAAGGTCACAAAAAATGTCAGCTCTAAATGAAATGCGTCTGACGGGTGACTCGCAGGAGAGATTGGGATCCGTTCCACGAAACAGCAAAGCAACATCAATAAAGTGCAACTTATAATTGATTGGTGGTGCCATCTTGCCATGCTCCATGGCCAGTCTTGATGTGGGCATATAAGGGTGGGGTGTTTGGTTTTTTTTTCGGTGGGTAGCTGGCCTGAGAACCTCTCTGATTCTGGAAAGTTGATAGAGGTTATTGCCTTCTTAATAATTTAATGCTTGCATTGCTCTGCCAGCTCAGAAAATTAACTTTTAAT